TGAGTCAAATGAATCTTTTGGTTTTCCACTGCATAAAAAAATTATGTTTACATTATTTAATGTACATTTATTAAATGTACAATAGCACTAAGTCTAAAAAAACATGTATTACATACCTTAATTTTAAAATATTTTATTGCTAAAAAATGCTACACATCACCTGAGCTTTCAGTGACTTGTAATCTTTTTGCTGGTGGAGGGTCTTGCTTCAGTGCTGATGGCTGCTGATTGATCAGGGTGATGGTTGCTGAAAGCTAGGGTGGCAGTTTCTCAAATAAGACAACAATGAAGTTTGCCACAACAATTGATCCTTCCTTTCATGAATGATTTCTCTGTAGCATGTGATGATATTTGATAGCATTTTGCCCAGAGTAAAACTTCTTTCAAAACTGGAGTCAATCCTCTCAAATACTGAGGCTACTTTATCAACTAAGTTTGTATAATATTCTAAATCTTTTATTGTCATTTCAACAGTCTTCACAGCATCATCATCAAGAGTAGATTCCATCTCAAGAAACCACTTTTTGGCACATCTCTAAGAAGCAACTTCTCTTCTGATCAAATGTTATCATGAAATTGCAGCAGTTCAGTCCCAACTTCAGGTTCCACCTCTAATTCTAGTTCTCTTGCTATTTCCACCACATCTGCAATTACTTCCTCCACTGAGGTTCTGAGCTCTCTCCAAGTCATCCATGAGGATTGGAATCAACTTCCTCCAAACTCCCATTAGTGTTGGTATTTTGATCTTTCCCCATGAATCACAAATGTTCTTAATGTCATGTGGGATGATGGATCCTTCCCAGAAGATTTTCAATTGACTTTGCCCAGATCCTTCAGAGGAGGCACCATCTTTGGTAGTTATAGCATTACAAAATGTATTTCCGAATCCTAAGACTTGAAAGTCAAAATTACTCATTGATCCATAGGCTGCAGAATGGATGTTGTCTTAGCAGGCAGGAAAAAAATACTAATCTCACTGTCCATCTCCATCAGAGCTCTTGGGTGACCAGAAACATTATCAAAGAGTGGTAATATTTTGAAAGGAATTTTTTTTCTCAACAGCTGGCTTAAAATATTCAGTAAGCCATGTTGTAAATAGATGTGCTGTCATCCAGACTGTTGTTCCCTTTATAGAGCGTAGGCAGCATAGATTGAGCATAATTCTTAAGGGTCCTAGGAGTTTTTGAATGGATAATGAGTACTGACTTCCACTTCAAGTCACCAGTTGCATCAGCCCCTAACAAGAGAGTCAGGCATTGAAGCTTTGAAGCCAGGCATTGACTTCTCCTCTCTAGCTATGAAAGTCCTAGGTGGCATCTTCTTCTAATACAAGGTTGTTTTGTCTGTATTGAAAATCTGTTATTTAATGTAGACACTTTCATTGATGATCTTAGCTAGATCTTCTGGAGAACTTGCTGTAGCTTCTGTATGACCACCTGCTGCTTCACCTTGCACTTTTATGTTGTGGAGACAGCTTCTTTCCTTAAACCTCATGAACCAACCTCTGCTAGCTTCAGAGTTTTCTTCGGCAGCTTCCTCACCTCTCAGCCTTTACAGAATTAAAGACAGTTAGGGCCTTGCTCTGAATTAGGCTTTGGTTTAAGGGAAGGCTGCTAGCTTCAGAGTTTTCTTCGGCAGCTTCCTCACCTCTCAGCCTTTACAGAATTAAAGACAGTTAGGGCCTTGCTCTGAATTAGGCTTTGGTTTAAGGGAAGGTTGTGGCTGGTTTGATCTATCTAGACCACTAAAACTTTATATCAGTGATAAGACTTTATCACTTTCTTATCATTTGTGTGTTTCCTGGAGTAGCACTTTTAATTTCCTTCAAGAACTTTTCATTTGCATTCACAATTTAGCTGTTTGGCACAAGACTTTCAGGCTATCTCAGCTTTCAGCATGCCTTCTTCACTAAGCTTAATCACTTCTAGCTGTTGATCCAAAGGGGGAGACATGAGTGACTCTTCCTTTCACATGAACACTTAGAGGCCATTATAGGGCTATTAAATGGACTGATTTCAATATTGTTGTGTCTCAGGGAATGGGGAGACCCAAAGAGAAGGTAAGGAAGGGGAACAGTGGTTTGTGGAACAGTCAGAACACATACAACATTTATTTATTAAGTTTGCCATCATAGACGTGTGTGGTTTGTGGTGTCCCAAAACAATTACAAATTGACATCAGAGATTACTGATCACAGATCACTGTAACAAATATAATAATGAAAAAGTTCAAAGTATTGCAAGAATTACCAAAATTGACACAGAGACATGAAGTGAACAAAGGATGTTGGGAAAATGGTGCCAAGGGGTGACTGGGTGGCTCGGTCAGTTAAGCATCCAACTCTTGATTTTGGCTTGAGTCATGATCTCAAGGTTCTGGGATTGAGCACCACGTCAGGCTCCGTGCTCAGGGAGGAGTTAGCTTGAGATTCTTTCTCTCCCTCTGCCCCTCCCCTCCACACTCTCATTCTCTCTCTCTCTCTCAAATGGATGGATAAATCTTAAAAAAAGAGGAGGTGCCAATAGGCTTGATTGATGCTGGATTGCCACAAAACCTTTAATTTGTAAAAAATCCAATATCGGTGAAGCACAATAAAATTAAACTCAATTAAATGAAGTACAATAAAATGAAGTATAACTGGATATATGCATGTATATATGTAAATGTTTATGTATAAGTTTATGTATATTTACATGCATACATATGTAAATTTTAGTCTCAACTTCAAAAACGAATTTCAAATTTCACTGATGGATATGAGTCAAAATTTGAAAACTCTGATATAGGCCTAAATGAGATCATGAATTCTGATGAAAGTGAACACTAAGAATGGGCAGACTGGCAGTTTTCATGGCACCAGGATAGAAGGTCGTAAAGGAGGAAGAGGAGGAGACAACATGGTGTTCTATCTTTAATAGCTCTCCTTACTTATCTCCATTATCTTTGAGGCTTCGGGAATATTAATGAGTTATTCTTCCACCTGAATTTTCAAGTGGCAAAAAAGGCAATTATTATAAAATAGTTCAGAATGTAGGCAGAGGAGTCAGCCTGTCTGGCTCCACAATCTATAGGTTGTATGATTTGGAGAAAGTTACTTCAACTCCTTGCACCTCAGCATCTTTGTAAAATGGGAATCACAGAGTCTCAGAGAGGTGTGGTGAATATAATAAATATAAAGCACAGGACACCTGGGTGGCTCAGTTGGTTAAGCATTTGCCTTCGGCTCAGGTCAGGATCCCAGGGTCCTGGGATCGAGTTCCACATCAGGCTCCTTGCTCAGTGGGGAGCCTGATTCTCCCTCTGTCTGCTGCTCCTCCTGCTTGTGCTCTCTTCTCTCTCCAGAAAAATAAATAAAATCTTTAAAATAAATAAATAAATAAATATAAAGTGCTTATACTAATAAATTATATAAGGTCAGCTCTCAATAAATTTATATTGGGTGTTTGCTAGTAAACAAATACTTGATCAAAATCTGTAATAAAATCGGGAACACAAACAGACAACTAATACACTTGCTTAGAGGCATTCAAAGAAATATTTCTGATGCCTTTTAGTTTATTGTCAGATAAAAAACAGTCTCTTAGTAATATTATCAATCATAAATAAATAATTTCAGCTCTATATACAATGGGGACATGTTCTCTTTAGAAAAGCTGACTTTTTTTCATGCGTTTAGTCTGTGAATATTAATGCATCCCAGCTGAGTCATATAAATCAATTTGCCCATGTGAAAGATCAAATAATTTTAAAGTTGTTTTTTACTAGAGGTCCAAATATTTAGTTAAAAATCAGGAAAATAAGATAGGGAGGAGGAAGAGAGAGAGAGAGACAGAGAGAAAGAGGGAGAGGAAGCAGGAGATAGAGATGAAGATTTCTAAGATCTTCAATAGAAAAACTAGGAACTTTCCACTGGCTCTCCCATTTTTTCTAGAACATTCATCCATGTTTACAAGTTGACTTTGAAGTCAAGGGGTTCAGAGACTATATTATGTAATATAGTATTAACACTAGTGAGCAAAAATTAGCACTTCTTACTCACTGAACATAGCAACAGCAATGACAAAAAAAAATGCAATCTAACTTTAAAAATGGCTACTAAAAATGCATGTCCATTTCCTACCTGAAAACGAGATCAAGGCGTTTACTTCACTGTGAATTTAACCTGGGTCTCAGGCTACATGAATATTCAAACCTGACATCACTTTAAGATTCACAGTGGAAGAGAATGAACATTTCTTTCTAAAATTTCCCCTCTCCTAGGCAGGGTTTTGAGGGACCAAGCCTGAGAGATTCATTAGCAAAGGTGTGTTATATTTTATTTGTAATTTTCGTCCAATTACAAATTTCCATCATAATGTAACTAGTATTATGGCAATTAAGACATTAAATTAAATTAGTATATCATGTATCATGCTGGGAAAATAGTAATGCAGCATAGTAATGCACCACAATAGATAATTGCTAAGGCAATAGGAATGTGTCCCCCGTAAAGATGATAGTCATTTTTTGTGCCTATCACCATAGCCAGTTTCAGCAGGGAATGAGTCCATCACATTAACTAAATCCCAGTGAAATTCTAGAATTACAGAGATATTAAGCTTTCTCGTCTTACACTCTGGGTTGTCTCAGAATTACCAGCTTCCCTTTATTTACTTTATCAGCATAGCTTCCATAGCTTTATGCACTGTTCAGTATCCTTTATGTAAGTCAATTGGATACAAACACTGGGTATTCAGAAGGTTTACTAGATGTTATATATTTTCCAAAAGTGTTTTTTTTTTCCTTTCCTGAGGCAAAACAGCACTAACTACAACTATTTAACTGTGTTTGGGAAGGGGGAGAGGTGTTCTACAGTGGTTCCTGCATAATAAACTAAGGGTTTTGGGGAATTATTGAATTACAAATATTTTCTCTCCCTGCATAGTGTTTCTAACTGGACAAAGACCTTAGCATGAAGGTTCACTTTCCCACCCACTCACTTTTGTTTTCTGTCTTTGCAGTTCCGCCATGGTTTTTAAATCACCCTACCAACCTGTATGCCTATGAAAGCATGGATATTGAGTTTGAATGTTCAGTCTCTGGAAAGCCTGTGCCCACTGTGAATTGGATGAAGAATGGAGATGTGGTCATTCCTAGTGATTATTTTCAGATAGTGGTAATTATCTTTTTTTTTTTTTTTCCGTATTAGCTGTATAATCCCATTCATTGTTTACTCGATTTTCAGTTGCTTTTCTTTCCTGGGAAGAAGGTTCCTACTGGGAATCTTTATGGTGTGTTAAGAAAATTGTTCCAATAGGGCGCCTGGGTGGCTCAGATGGTTAAGCGTCTGCCTTCGGCTCAGGTCATGATCCCAGGCTCCTGGGATCGAGTCCCGCATCAGGCTCCCTACTCCTTGGGAGCCTGCTTCTCCCTCTGCCTCTCTCTCTCTCTCTGTCTCTCATGAATAAATAAAAAAAATCTTAAAAAAAAAAAAAGAAAATTGTTCCAATAAAGCAAATGATTTTCTAGACTTAACAATTTTTGAGCTGAAAAAGAGTCATCAAACAGCCCACCTCCTTGTTTTACAGGCAAGGTTTTTTAAACAAACACATGATGAAAAAGATAGAGGACCTAAGAGACTCTTTCCAAGTATCCTCATTGCTGGTTCTCGGGAGAACAGAGTTGAGAACCTAGTTCTAGACTACATGAAGCCAACAGTCTCTTACTTCTTTGACTTTTTACCCATTATAGCAAAGTTTCAGCAAGATGTGCCACTATGATTATGCTAGTCTTACTTTCATAATATAGACAAGTTTTCCCTGCTACCCTTCCAGTAGGACAGCTGATCCTACTTGAGCAATAGAAAAGGATGTGGTGACAGTGACAAGTGGTAGTGGCAGAGCTAGGACACCATGGAGACCCCAGAAGCTAAGCATAATAGTTCTTATAGTTTCTCTAAGTTCTAGTGCACTCTCCACCCCATGGGGGAATCACAAGGATAATGGTATATTATATTCACTAAGTTGTTTTCCTGGTACACTGTCACTGTGTTGAGGTCACTCAACACCTATTATTACTATCATTCCTTTTCCTGTTACCCCAGAATTCTTTGCTCATTTAAAACTGCTCTGAAAACTCTCCATTAGGTGTAGGTTAGCATTGGAGTTTCCGAATTTGAGGATATGAATATATGAGAAATATGAAAAGCACTTTCCAAATATCAAAGAACTTTGTAGCTAAAGAAGGAGGATTTAGGCCCACTTCTCTTATGTCTGAGATGCCGACATGAACTGTCAAAGAAGAGTGTCTAAACTAGGTCGTCTGGCAGAAGGGGAGTAGATCTCAGGTGCCCTGCCAGTCCAGGCACATGCGCTCCTTAGCCTTGCACTGGCTCTCATTGGTGGATCCACCTCCTTGTGGCTGGATCAGCTGACTTTCAGAAACTTCCATGACCTCTTTATGCATGCATTTAGTCATACTGTAAGGGTTCTTAAAGAATACATCCATAAAGCATATCTTTATTACTTTTGTCACCACTGTATTTTCACTTTTAGTTGCATTTTTTAATTGGTTGGGAATAGAGTAAGAAAGGGGGAAAAGTGTAACTTTTCAATGCCACGCCTATCCATTAGTTCCTTTAAGTGCAATGCTATTTCTACTCCCACTGGATTAAAAATGACCTGCTGTGGGGCAACTTGAAATGTGTTGTGCCCGCTTAGGATATATGCTACTTGCATATAAAGGAAATTGTTGAGTGCCCTTAAGAACACATGATAAAATACAACATTTATTTTTTCCACAGTTTGAATAATCTTTCTCCCAGAATGACTCATTACAGCCAACCTATTTAAATGTTTCTTTTCTTAAGGTGAAAAGAAAATGTACAGTATGAGCCCTGTTCACATGAAATTGTGCTTAAAAATATTTCCCCAATAGCTCCGGAAATCTGAGAGCCATTGTCTGTCACACAGTAACGTTTAACACAAATAGTAACTTATATGAGAATTGTTAATTAGAGGTTAGTCAGCTTTATCTCAGAATTTTACATCAGCAGAGAATTGACTACAAGACACTAAAAACAATTAAGAATTCCCCATGAGGTAATATTTATCTCTTAATGACTTCAGGGGAAGTGATTTAACATGTCTCACTTACTGAACTAATTCTTACACTAATACTGAAGAAAAACTGAGTCAGTATAATTAAGTGCTATCTCCAGATTATTTTATCATCCATCCTCGAAAAACATGGTGGCTCAATTTATATAAAACAGGAGTGAACACTGCTGTGTTTAATTTATGGATTACTGAAGGTAAAGCATTTTGGCCATATAACAAGAATGACATGGTATAAAATATCCACCATACCATTGCTCTAAATCCCAAAAGGATACATGTCAAAGCAATTACAATTTTAAAAGGATTTTCAGATTTTTTTTCTCAGTAAATACTTCCAGAAAATATCCAACCTAGATTTCTTGTCTTTTAGAAGCTGCAAAAATCAGTTTCTTTTATTTTTTTCCCAGCAGCTGCTAAACCCAATTTTCCTTCAATAACAAGTGAAAGAATGAAATGTCTTTTCATGCTAACCTTTGTTTCTCATCTATTTAATCAAAGAGTGCTCTGTTTGTTGCTCATTTAGATACTGAGGATGATGTGTATTTTTATGAGTATAGTTTTCATTGCAGAACTAGGTTAAATGTATGCACGTGGATTCAGCAGAGTATTGGGAATCTGTGACATTTCCTAAGTGACATAGGACATATTTGTGAGACAGAACTCACCTGCCTTTCGTTCTTGCTTATTCAGTGAAATTTTATCAAAATCTTAGGTTCATTTTGTCTCCTTGAGTTTTTTGCTTTTTAAAATATTGTACCTGCTTCTTTCTTCTCTCTAGGGAGGAAGCAACTTACGAATCCTTGGAGTGGTGAAGTCAGACGAAGGCTTTTATCAATGTGTAGCTGAAAATGAGGCTGGAAATGCCCAGACCAGTGCACAGCTCATTGTCCCTAAGCCTGGTAAGTTGAGGGGAACTTTGCTCTGGCACTGTTAGCTATCTCTATGCTTGGTCCACTTGTGAAATCCTTATTGTTTTCCCTCTCAATGGCAATTGGAAATTATTTAATTATTTAGTTTATCAGGGTGTACATTTATGTGTTGATGTCATATTCTTTCTAGAAATGTATCTAGTATGTATCTCCATCCAGTGAGATAGAGTCATCATGAGCAGTAGGTACCTCTGGTTATCAAGATAACAACCAGTAAATTGTTAGCTTCTCCCCTCTTTTGTGGCCTGCTTTTCTTCTAGTATTTCTGGTAAATGTAGAATATAAAGAGAGATGGAGTATATATGTGTGTGTGTGTGTGTGTGTGTGTGTGTGTGTGTGTGTGTGTGTGTATAGTCTTGAATCGTGGAAAATGGCAGAAAAATAGTAGAAGCAATCACATGAAAATAAACACATTTTTCTATTTTTTTAAAAGATTTTGATAATTTTTCTTTTTTTTCTATTATTTATGACGTTTATATTTTATTTTGCCCTGTAGTCTTTTGGCAGTTTAATATAGTGGTGTATTCAAAACTGCTATAACTTGGGGCACCTGGGTGGCCCACTCAGTTAGGCATCTGACTCTGGTTTCGGCTCAGGTCATGACCGCAGGGTCATGAGATCAAGCCACACATCAGGCTCCATGCTCAGCGGGGAGTCTGCTTGAGATTCTCTCCCTCTGCCCCACCCCCCAACTCTCTCTCTCTTTAAAAAAAAACTATCGTAACTCTATATTAGATGGATCATGTATTATCCCCAAACAACAAAATCTTGCCAGAAAAAAAGAAAAGAGGAAGGAAAAACAAATTGATCAGCTGCTCTGAAATGTTGTAATACTAAAGAAAGTCAAAAATATTCATTTTTTAAGTAGGGATGGAAAAGTTGTTTAGATAGATCGAAATACTTTAAAATGTTAGTATCTTCTATGAAACTTTTCATACCACCTATTATTTTAATTTCAACTTTTCAAGACCAATTTCCTCCATCATGCCATGACTCAGTATTCTTGTCACACTTTACCTATAATAAATTTAATAGAAAATAACTGAAATGTATGAAATAAAGCCTTTCTTTGGCTTCTATCCTTTAAAATATGTCTTTGAAGGCCTTATATTTTGTGCATCCCTAACCAATTATTTGAAGACTCTCAGATGCTCATAACAATGCTCGTGACAATGACTCTCCCTTTTTTTCTTGATTGAAACAAAAAAACAACCATAGGACAATAGTCCCAGATGAGGAAAGGAACTAAAGGAATCATCTAGGAATTAAAAGGGACAATTAACACTCATTTAAGATTGCCAATTTCTCCAATGGATTATTCCTTTTCCCTCCATTTACTGTGCTTTAAGTGTTACTGTGACTGGGTGCATTCTCTTCTGCTGGAACGGTAAGTTATGGATAAGTAGGAGAAAAAGAGCCTCTAGAATCAGGGTCTCTGATTCAGAACTGTGCGCCATCTCATTAGTAATGACAATGTGACCACACAGAACAAGAGAATTCTAGTTAACCTTGATTTTCAGCTACAGCCATAATGCTGAGGAAAATGCTGGATAAGCAATCCCATATTTCTAAAAAAGGATGTGAAATAGTTTCTTCTAGGACTTGTCAGCACTGACCAAACACACCCAGTGGCCATCCCCTGCAATTGCCCATAGTGTTGGAGAATTCTCTGAAGTTCTTGAATTCATAGGATTAGAGATTATCATGGTGCTTTCCCTTCCACACAGGTCAAGTTGTGGAGACACCAAGAAAACCTCTTGAACAGATTGTGTGCGTGTGTGTGTGTGTGTGTGTGAGTGTGTTTTACTGAGAATTGTTTGTAAAAATGGGAAATGGACAAATTCCTGCAAGCTGGAAATTGTCTGGAGCTGTCCACAATGATGCCAGTAAGAGAAAGGGTAAGGCAACTGTGAGGAGAAGCTCTATTTCTTGGGGAAGAACAAAGATATGAGTTGCGCTTGAAGATAGCAGAGCTGGAGTCACTATGAAGGGATCATGCCTGAGAGGTCCTGCCTGCAGAGGTTGCGCACCAGAAGACAGATACTGCGGGGGAGGGAGCTGAGCTGGGGTGCTGGTGCAGACGGCCCACTAGCCCATGCAGAAAGTCCAGTGCAGGGATTCCTCAGGTGAGGGCAGGAGTCTCTGAAGAACCCACAGAGCGGCCTCCCAAAAAAGAAGCTCGCAGATGCTTTCCACTTTTGAAAGCAAGTCCATCCTTTCCTGTCTGACTCTGGAGAAGCCCTAAAGAGAGTATCAGGATTGGGGACTAGATCTGACAGGGTGTGTATAAAGGTGGACCACAGGATAATATACAACTGTTGCCTCTTAGTATTCTAGCAGTTCAGCTCATTCAATAAACCAGTTACAAGCATCCCGCGTCACTCTCCCTGCAAGCTCTCAGTTCAAAGGATAGCCATTTGTTCCCGACTTCTTGCATTCCACCTGGGCCCTGAGTCATTAGGTCTGAGGCTCCCCTCAGCAGGAGAGTCATTTACCTCCTCAGAAGGGCAAGCCTCTGAGCATCTGGATAATTCATTCTTCCATGTAGATGGTAAAGTATTATCAGTGTATTCTGCACTCTCAGTCGATGTTCAGTGTGTTTGGCAACAGATGAGAATGAAAGTAAAAGCAAATGAAGATAAAAATCTGAAAGCGTGACAGGACACAATTGTGACTGTCTTACATCCCCTCTTATAAATGATGGATTGCTTTTTATGGCTATTCAAGCAGGTCTTCAAATCATGCTTCTCCGGCTACTCAGAGATGCAGTGTAGGCCACATGCACAGATGGTGAAGAGGCCCAGCTATAAATGTCAATTCAGCAGTGAGGCTGACCATGGTGGGCAGAACATGGCCCTCTCTGTTGAAGTTTCAGCAAAAAACGGCCTCCATGTATTTGGAGGCACATTGTGGCCCACATAGCCAGCTGCTCAGCTTTGGGCTGTCCACAGGCTTGTGGTGGAGAGTTCCCCTTGGCAACCATAACAATCTGCTCCTCATGGAAGCACACACAATGACCCATTCCAGCCAGTGTCCATTGTTAATGGGTATTTACATAAGCCTAATGAAGTTTCAACATAGTCTTTTATAGACAGTTAACTATTCCCACTTTAGCAATTAGTGACTTAGGAAATAAAGTAAACATAATCTACTAAATTAAACTGAGTTAATGACTTGTTTTGCTCTCCAGAAAATAAGTTTGAGAAAAATATTGAGATGTGTATACCGTAACATGTGAAATATCTACATGGTTTCCTCTAGGCAAAGGTCAAGAAGACCAATGACAATTTAAAAAGTCATTATACTATAGGAAGTCCTATCACTAACAGTATATATGTACCACTGTATCACCATATACACAGTTCCAGACTGCTGCCTCCCTGCCTCTGTCTCTCATTTTCTCTCTCTCTCTTTCTCTTTCTCTTTCACACACACACACACACACACACACACACACACACACACACACACACGCATACACACACAGGATACATGAAAGCCTGCCTTCTTAAGACTTTACATATACATCAAAAAGACTAGCCATGTTATATAAGTGATGGTGAATGGAAATTAAAATACTTTAGCTGATTTATATTACTTGTATTATCTATTAATCTCTTCTAACAGCTAAGAAAAAGTTTTATTGCTGTTGCTTGTTTTAGTTTATTTATTTACTTTCTTTTGGGGGGGCACATTGGTTTAAGAAGTTGCCTTTCTAAATAAACTATAGCTCCAAGTCCACCATTCAGTGAACACACCAGCCAGAAAGTATCAAGAATCAATGTGTTAGGTGTCATAAGAACAAGAAGGTCCAGTAGCCAGATTTGCAAACATGTGAGCAGTAGATTAGGATCTGGTTGGCATAGCAGATGCTGATGAACTATTTAGCATCAAGTTATCATCTAGTAAACTGTAGTGTGGACAGGTAGTAATTAAATTAAGAAAACTATTTGATAGCTGGGTGGAAAAGCTAGCAATTTTCTTTTGCTGAGGGTGTGTGGGGTAGGGAACAAGGCAGGAAAGATAAGATATATATATAAGATATCAATTACCTCTGAGTTGGTTTTCCTTGTTCCAGCTGCTGGATGGTGTTCAGTTTCCTGGCAGTGGTCTGCAGTGAAGGTCATTGAAAATACTTAACTGTTGGCTAGGGGAGTGGCAGGCCAGGGAACTGGGAATGAATGCAGTGATGATCAGGACATATGTTGTCTGGAATATTTTTAATTTAATGACAGAAATGGGTAAAGATAGAATAAAGTTGCCATGGGAAGAGATAATGTATTCTTCATATTCTTTTTTTTTGCATTCTTCATATTCTTTTTTTTTTTAATTTTTTTATTGTTATGTTAATCACCATATATTACATCATTAGTTTTTGGTGCAGTGTTCCATGATTCATTGTTTGTTCATAACACCCAGTGCTCCATGCAGAACGTGCCCTCCTCAATACTCATCACCAGGATAACCCATCCCCCTACCCCCCTCCCCTCTATAACCCTCAGTTTACATTCTTCATATTCTAATATGCACCAAAAAAGCTACGTGGTCAAAATGAATACATGCCATTATAAATATTCCCTAAGTATAGATTTGCTTAGGCAAGACATCATATTATGCCTTCCATAGAAGAAGTAAATATGCACTAGGTGTCTCATGTTAATATTGAATGCTTTTTAATCTGGTTTTGTTTTATTTGTTTTTTCCTCCAATATTGGTAAGAAAATAGAATTTCCTGCTGCAGGAGGGGAAATATATTGACTAGGCATTTAGGAAAATGTGAGCTGTTATCAATGCCCTGCCCTCCTTTGGAAAAGGTTACCGGTCACAAATAACATTGAATTTTCAACAATTTATTATGGCAGTATATCATATAACTTAAAATTAGCAAAAGTATTTAAGTCTGATCATGAACATTAAGGCATAAAATCAGAAATTTTGTTTTTGATTTTGTTTTTTTTTTCCATTTTTGA